AACCACTATTGACATAATTGCTATAGTTCATTCATAGTGTGTAGACAGTGTTCCAAAAGGACATGGCTGAATGAAGTAGAGACTTTGATGACAAACACCATTGCATTAGGGGAAGACTACCCAGTGCAGTTGTGCCTGGGTAACAGTGGATGGCACAGAGAAGTTTTCTGTGTAGGAAAGAACAAGGAGGAATACATATAATGTGGGAAAGGAGAGGATGAAGGAAGACAAGAAAATCAGCCCCTGAACCAGGGATTTTCCCAGAGGATATGTTATGGGAGAGTGGACCCGGGAATTTCACTGAGTGACATCAAGCCTTTTACATGTTTGGTTTTATTGTTTTAAAACTTCACAGTGGGTGTTGCTCTGGAACTCAAGCTGAGCTTGATGTTTTCCTCAAGCCTCAGCCTCCCAGAGTGGCATGATCACAGGTGTGGATCACCAATTGTAAACCGGGATCACAGTTCCTGGTGAAATTAAACGTCATCAGTAATTCCTTTCAATGTCAAGAATGTTGGACATGTTTTTGGTTTACAATATGTTTTTCATTGACAGTATGTGGGGGTTATTCTGCAAAACTTCCTTAAAACACGATACCCTAGACAAGTATTTATGAATTTGAGATTAGTTCTGTGTGTAGTATAATATTTAATTGAAATTTTCCCTAGATTCTAGAAAAGAGAATCTATGATTATCATACTTTCCTGCACCATAGGAATGCCCTTCTCTTTTTATCATAAGCCACTTTGAGACAATATATTCATTTCTATTAGTGGTGTGACTCAGTGTGTCATATTTTCAAAACTTCAGAATGATGACTCTTAATGAAAACATGTCCTGTGCCTTAGACAGCAATCTTCATTTGAAGCAGTGTACTAGGACTTTGCTCTGAATTTGTGAATATTTGGTCATTTTGGGTGGTGCATTGATTTGGGCATACCATTTTTTTGTTGTAGAATTGGTTAGTGCTTAGCAAACAATACACACTTGAGTTCAAAAGAAAAAAATGGGTAAGATCAAAGGTCAAACTTCAACTGATGGTGGGTGTTTGTTTTTGCTCCAATACTGAGAGCTTGGACAAGAGAGCAGTTTCTCCTTGTGAAGATGAGTAACTGTGATGTGAGGAAGCCCCAGAATTAAATTTGCTGACTTTTTGTATTTCCCAGTATCACCAATTTGATTGAGCTACCCTGGACTGCATAGGGTGTGGGAATTTTGTATAACCTTTGGAATGTGTTTAACGTTCGGAGTGTGGGTCCCCTTGTGAATGTCAGTAAAGGAAGGTTGTTCCCTAAGCATCTTCCCTTTTGCTTTTTCTTCACAGCAACTTACTTGCTTAAAATACAGGTTACCTCAAAGACTTACGAACTGCTTTTAAGATTTTACTGTATGATTGTGGTTTTCTTAGTTTACAAGTAAATATAGTATTGTTACATGTAAAGAAACAAAGATATTTAGATGCATTGATTCCCTATATAGAAACATTGATTACATATATAGAAAAAAAATTTTAAAACTTAGGTGCAATTATTTGTTTGGCATTTATCATAAATATGTGTAGAGATCCATAGAATCATCATGGAGGTGAGGAAATCAACTGTGATTACCTCCACTATGTTTTCCTGATTTGATATAACTACCTAAGAAGTGGCCATAGGATGGAGTTTTGCAAGCTATTGGTCCTCTAAAAACATCATCAAGCAAAATCTTATTTCATTCGAACATTTGGAATTGGAATGAATTCATTGAGATTAGTATATTATTATAATTATAATGAAAAGTTTACTCAAGTTTTGTATTGGACAGCCTAGTGGACATAACATTGTAGGGAAGTTCATATTTCAGACACTTTACTCTCTTACTGCAGTGCTTCTGGGCTTGTGTTATTTCACATTGGTTTCTATTATTTATTATATATTATGTGATTAAATATATTACTGTTGAAATTTTTTTGGAAGTGATAATGAACTAATATTTTTGCTAGAAAAAATACTGATGTGCAGATCATAAAAATTCAACATTTGTACAAATGTTCTTATATAAAGACAAACAAATGAATACGAACATTGTTATTGATAGTTCGTTATTTAAATCTTGTATATCAAATTTACTCTCAGAATTTTTGGTGAGATTTAATGATAATAACGATGTAAACATCTTTGGTTTATTCAAATCTTTTTATCACTGGGCATTCGGCAGTGGCTGAGAGTATATATGTGATGAACTCCTTAACTGACTCAAGCTTTTCTTTCCTTGTTTATGACCACTGTCATTCATTGACAACATTTCCTTAGTTTATGTATATGATTTTCCCTTGATAGTGATCTTTTAGTTTCTTTCCCTGTAATTTTCAGTATTACAGAAGTTGCACAGGGAAATGTTTGGGAACATACTGTCTCACTATTCACAAATCCTGATGGCTGGACCAAGTGAAAAGTACATTCTCATCTATTCTATTGGTCATTAGTTTAAGATTTTTCAAGTTTACTTACCAATAGTCACACCAATCTACAAATAAAATAGGACAGTGTTTTCTCTGGACATTGGAATGAAGTCACTAATTTGTTATTTTGGCAAACTCAAAAAAATGGAGATGAGTGTAGAGTGTATTAGTTGTTTTTCCCTCCTTGCATAAGTCTTACTAGTTTTTCCATACCTATTTTCTTCACTTTGTCAAGATTTGATCTTTTTTAATATTCAGTGTTTCTTTGGAGTTAGGTGTAATTTATCTATTTTAGAGATTTGTGTTCATTGATATTTACTCTCTATACAAAATCTTTGTATTGTGTACACAGCAAATATTTTAGTCTTGTTTTATTTATTTCCCATTGTTTTTTTTGGGGGGGGGTTTCTTTTTCGGGTATGGGGAATCGAACTCATGACCTGTGCTTACTAGGCAGGCGCTGTGCTGCTGAGCTAAATCCCCAGCCCCTTTCCCATTGTTTTCATAGACTTCAATTTCTCCTAGTTCCAATGGCTATTTGTTTCCTCTGAGGAAACTTTTTTTGTTGTTTTAAAAGTTATTTTGCTATAAATTCTTAAGGCACTGAAGTTTATCATTCCCTTTTAAATATGTAATTTATGTAAATAAAATAAAAGAGTATACAGTCTAGATTTCTAGATACACAAATGTTTTTCCCTGAACATAAATAAAACACATTGTGGATAGCTTTCTGATATGTTTGTCACAAACTGCATCATGAATCACTATTCTGTTTACACGTGGAACTGTAGAAGGCTTCCTTTCTTTCCAAAGATCCGTTCATCATTCTCTACTAATCTCAGATTGTAATAAAAGGTGTAACATGAATGTATTTTATGTAAAGTATGCAAGCTGTCATCTTACTCATGAGGTGCTGAATGTTGCCAGTTTTCTTTTATACTGCATAGTTAGAATTTTTGGAACAGAGCAAAAGAGTGACTTGTCAGTGCCACGGTATTTTCTTTAAGTTCTCCTTTCATGAAGGTCACTGACATAATGTTTCAATTCAAAATCTTCATTGGCCTTGAAGTTACCTCATAGCTGGGGCTGGATTTAAACTCCTGCAATTATCAAACTCTTGGAAGTCCTGCTACATCAGCCTCCCAAGTGCTAGGATTAGAGGCAGGCAAAATGACACCTACCTGAAGTTTTCTTTTTGTAATTAATGCCTAGTGACTTTGTGATATCTTCATGTTTAATGTGCTTTATATATGTCCTTCCGCTCATTAATCTCACTTGGACAATTGTAGGAATTCTTAGATCTGAGTGCAAGATGGTCATTTGGTGTCACTGAGGTATAACATAATATGCCACCTGACCCCTGTTTTTATTGTCCATAGACTTACTCAAAGAATACTGTTTTCCCATTACTATTTGACACTTATAAAGCTTTTTTCTTTTTTTATTGGTTCATTTTAGGTATACATAGTAAGAATATTAATCTTGGAATTTGTACCTGTACATGGTATATCTTGCTGCTGCTGCTGCTTCTTCCATTCTCTTTCCCACCCTTTAGAACCTGTTAACTTCTTAATTTATGAAACTATTTCCTTTTTGTCCTTCTATTCTTCTTTTCTTGTCCCTTCTTTCCCCACCCCTGCCCCTCCATTGTTCCCCTACCCATTTAAATATTTTCTTCTCAGATGCCTCAAGAAACAGAAACTAGATCCATTTGACCCAGCTATTCCCTTTCTTAGTCTCTCCTCAAAAGAATTAAAAGCATCATACCACAGTGATATATATATATACACGTATATATATATATATATATATATACACACACACATATATATATATATACACACACACACACATGTTTATACTGGCATAGTTTGTAATAGATAAATGTTGAAAAGAGTCCAAATATCCATCAAATGATGAATGGATAAAGATGTGGGTTTCTTATACAATGGAGTACTACTCTACCATAAAGAAGGCTAAGCTTGTAACACATCTAGCTGAATGGGTGGACCTTGAATCACACTCTGAGGTGAAATAAATTGGACACACATTTGTAAATATCACATGGTTTCTCTAGTGTGAAAAACCAAAATATAAAGAACATATTCGTATACTTCATTTATTGTTCAATTAAGTCTTTTTTCTAAAAAATGAGATTCTGCTTTCAAAACACTGCCTATGTACAGTACAACAGTGAATGACTTAATTCTATGAATAATCACATTTATAATTATATTCCCTCAAAGGCATTCTCTCTTTTTTTTTCTCATTCCATTTTATGGGAATAGTGATTTGCTGGCTGCCTCTAGGACCTCTGATTTAGAAATAGTGCACAGTTACAATTTCTGTGAACCTACCAGGAAACCAATGATATTAATCTGCTGTTGTTCTAGCAGAGAAATACATTCTAGCATCAGAATTGCATGTAACACTGTACATAAACATGGATTTGGTAACAAAGACATGGAATTTCTATTTGAAGGAAAAAAACCTATTCAGTTCAACTTTTGCAAGAGGAAGTCAAGTTCTCAGGATATGAGTGTCAACCTTCTTTCAGGAAATATATGTATGTGATTATTTAGGAGGCAGTGACGCTGGAGGATGTAACTGTGAACTTCACCAAGGAGGAGTGGGCTCTGCTGAATCCATTTCAAAAGAAGCTCTACCGGGATGTGATGTGGGAAACATTTAGGAATATAAATGCTATAGGTAAGGATGACATCGTTTTCTCATATATACAATGAGAGAGCATTGGTTCTTGCTGATGGGTACAGTCTCATTAAATAGAAAGCACAAACATTTTGAACTATCTCTGTCCTGTTTACATTATACCATGAATATAACTGCCAACCACTAATTTTTATATAATGATATAGTGACTTTTTGTATTTTTGTGACTGTAATTCAGGAAGGACTTGGGACAACCAGCAAATTGAAGAAAAACACAAAAATTACTCAAGAAATCTAAGGTAATTTGTTTTCTAAAGGAAAAGCAGTACTTCTCAAGTGTTAGTGTGTGAACAGAAATATTACAGGGAAAGTTTACAAAGCAGGCCATGTTCATATTTATTTAATCTCAGAAAATTGTTGTCAGTGTGCATACAGGTTGGTTTTCTATAATCTGAAAATTGAATACAGAAATATTTCAATATAGGAAACTAAGTTAGTTTCATTATACAACAAGAGACACTATCTCCTACACTAGTATAAAAAAACATTCATGAGCAACATCATGAAAATATATGAAGTTGCATTTAGGTATTCTATATAGACATGTATAAAAGATAAAAATCTTGCACTTCAACAGGAACTCATCTTCAAGATACACATATACTCACACACACACATATATGAGATGAGATACACATTATCTAAAAAAATTGCCAACCTGGTAGCAACATTCAAAATGCAAATGAGTGCTAATATATTAATAGGTGTTTGAAAACATTCTCCAGACAGTTGTGTGCATTCATGTATAAAATTTCTTAGAATGCACCCTCATACGTTACTGGTAGGAATAAAAAACAGAACTGTTTATATATTCATTATATAGATGTCTCAAAAAATAAAAAAAAGGTTTGTGTTTGATCCATGCAAAACTTCATATGCATATACTGAAAGGATTTTAAAGTATCATACCTTAGTAATACCTATGTACTTATACCCAAAGCAAGTTATGCATGGTTTTCACCATAGCTAAGTTCTGGAAATAATTCATAATACCTAAACTCTCATAGTAGCCTATATGTCAAGCAATGTATGCATGGAAAAGGTAAATGTGGGATAGGCTCAGCATAGTGGTGGCTTCTTATATTCCCAGTACTCTGGTTGGCTGAGGCAGCAAGGTGACAACATGAAATTCACCCTGACCAAATGAATGATCACAGAGAATCTCTCTCAAAATAAAACTAGAGAATATGGTACGTGTATTCAGCAAAGCAAAAAGGTGTGTCTCATATCTTCTGACAAAAAGAGACGGGACTCCATCTCACAGTGGTAAATGCAGTAACTCAGACCACAAAGTGAATTATCAAGTGATTTTTTTTTTTTATTTCCGTATGAGGTACTAAATTATAAATTAGGGAACAAAATTAAGAAGTGATAGAAGGCAAGGGGGTTGGGGGAAAAGTGTCAAAAATGATCAGTATACTATACTCATATGAATTAAAGACTTCAACTTGATTTTACAAATTGCAAACATATTTCAATTTAAAATTCAGAAATAAATGCATTTATTTGGAAAAAAAAAAAAAAGGTCATTTTGGAGACATCTTCCAGGATTTTCAGCCTATTCATTGAAAATGTCTTAGGAGATACCAAGCCAGAAGTTGTCCTCATAAATTATTGATATGGTGGTCATTTTATTGTCATTGATACTTTCTCTCTTTACAGAAATGAAGAGGTAGCAAAATGCTATCAGTATAAATCTTGCAGTCAGCATGAAAGCAGATTCAATTTGACTTCAGATGGTAATGTGGACATGCGACAAGCTGCTTTAAAACCAGCCAGAAGTCTTGTTTATAGAGAGACCCTGATTGGGCATTCATCATTAAATGTGCCCATTTTACATCACATGGGAGAGAAGCCACATGAGTATATGGTATTTGATGACAAGCTGAGTAAATGTAATGAACATAGTAAAACCTGCAGTGATTTCCAGTCCTTTCAGAAGCATGCAAGGACAAAAAATGGAGAGAAAGCCCATCAATATGAGCAATGTGGGAAATCCTACTCTGAACTCAGTGAAGGAACTCACCCTGGAGAGAAGACCATTGTTGGTCAGAAAAATGTGAAAGACTCTAGCAACCCCAGTGGTATTCAAACCCATGACAGAATTCATATAGTGAAGAAACCATATTTAGGCAAGCAATATGGAAAATCCTTCAGTACTCAAACTTGTAAAACTCTGGAAAGGATTCACATGGAAAAGAAATCTTATGTGTGTAAGCAATGTGGAAAAGCATTCCATACACACACTGCCTACCAAAGACATGAAAGAATTCACACTGGGGTGAAACCCTATGTATGTAAGCAATGTGGGAAGTCATTCAGGAGAAACACTCAATGTCAAAGTCATGAAAGGACTCACAAAGGGAAGAAACCTTATGTATGTAAACTGTGTGGGAAAGCATTTACCAGACACAGTTATTGTCAAATACATGAAAGAAATCACACTCAGGAAAAACACTATGTGTGCAAGCACTGTGGCAAGTCATTCGCTATGGAAGAATCTTGTCAAATACATGAAAGAGCTCACAGTGGGGAGAAACCTTATGTGTGCAAGCAGTGTGGAAAAGCATTCACTACAAAGCATTATTATAAACTACATGAAAACTTTCACACAGGGGAGAAAACTTATGTGTGCAACTACTGTGGGAAGGCATTTACTACACACAAATCTTGTCAAATACATGAAAGAATTCACACTGGGGAGAAACCTTACGTGTGCAAGCAGTGTGGAAAAGCATTCACTATATGGGGTAATTATAAAAGACATGAAAGTACTCACAAAGGGGAGAAACCTTATGTATGTAAACAGTGTGGGAAAGCATTCACATTGAGGAGTAATTGTAAAAGACATGAAAGAACTCACAATGAGGAGAAACCTTATGTGTGTAAGCACTGTGGGAAGGCATTTACTAGACATGAATCTTGTCAAATCCATGAAAGAACTCACACTGGGGAGAAACCTTATGTGTGTAAGCAATGTGGGAAGGCATTCACTACACACCAATTTTGTCAAATCCATGAAAGAACTCACACTGGGGAGAAACCTTATGTGTGCAAGCAATGTGGAAAGGCATTCAGTATAAATACTAATTATAAAAGTCATGAAAGAACTCACACTGGGGAGAAACCCTATGTGTGCAACCACTGTGGGAAGGCATTCACTACACACCGGTCTTGTCAAGTACATGAAAGAACACACACTGGGGAGAAACCTTACGTGTGCAAGCACTGTGGGAAGGCATTTACTACACATCCATCTTGTCAAATACATGAAAGAAGTCACACTGGGGAGAAACCCTATGTGTGCAAGCACTGTGGGAAGGCGTTCACTGCAAAGAATTCTTATAACATACATGAAAGAACTCACACACGGGAAAAACTTTATATGTGCAAGCAATGTGGAAAGGCATTTACTACACACCAATCTTGTCAAATACACGAAAGAACTCACACTGGTGAAAAACCTTATGTGTGCAAGCACTGTAGGAAGGCATTCACTAGACTTCGATCTTGTCAAATACATGAAAAAATTCACACTGGGTAGAAAGCATATGTGTTGAAGCAATATGGAAATGCATTACTACACTGATACTACAAAAAAATGGAAGAGCTCATACTGGGGAGAAACCTTAAGTATGTAAGCAGTGTGGAAAGGCATTCACTGCACATCAATCTCATCAAATACATGAAAGTAAACTTAGACTAAAAAAATGTGGGCCATGTGGAAGAAATTTGCTAGTAAATCATTATTTATGTAGATCTCACGTTGGGGAGTAACCCTACGCATATAAACAATATGAGGGAAGTATTCAGTGAATACATTTTTTGTCAAGCACACAAAAGAAATCACACTGGAGAATGACCCTATATATGTAAGCCTATTTGGAAAAAACTTGTGAAAATTCCTCATCTAATGTATACCTGTACACACTATACATGAAAAATTTGATGTCAATATTTCTTCATGGGTTTTCAAGGCAATACACTTCCAGTTAGAGAACTTCTAAAATTTTCTTTCTGCTTTTCAGTAAAAAACTGTGTATATATAACGTTTGCTAGAAATAATATTGACATTTTTATGTAAGCCATTGCCTTTGAACCTAATATATAGTATTTCCTAATAAAACAAGGTGAACTGAAATGTATTTCTCATTTCAAACTAGGGTTATTGTTTAGTTTTTGGTTTTTTTACTTTTTACATTGGGTAGGTATAGACAACTAAACAATAATTTTTATTAGTTTTTGATTGGGATTTTCTAGTAATTCCAATTTTGTTGGTGTATACACCTCATATTCTCTATACAAATAATAACTTTGAATTTGATGTTAAATATATAAATGTAAGCATATTTAGAGCAGTGTGAACCAATATTTTTTAAAAGGTCATTTGGGGTTTTTTTGTTTTGTTTTTTGTTTTTTTTCCGGTACCAGGAATCAAACTCACAACCTCATGCTGGCACTGTGCCGCTGAGCTAAATCCCCAGCCCCTAAAAGGTCATTTGTTCGCACAAAACTTGTAGACTAGGAAATGTTTTATTTTTCATCCCCTAACCCTTTATATATCCCAACATAATTATATAAGGCACGTAATTTCTTCTATTTTGCTCTCATGTTGAAGTCAGTACTATGATTTACATAAAATTTTGTTTTATTCACATCAACATTTTACTTTTCATGCTTACATTGTTGTGACTTTCAATTTGATGGTAATTGTACCACAGTTTACATCAAAAATAAACCACACTGCTGTATCTGATTGAGACACATGAGATGGACCATATTTTGTCTAATAAAGGATATTATGAGTTGTAACATTATATCAGTCAGTGCGTAGTCCAGAATGTTATACAGTGAGATATACAAATATATAAGATTTTATATGATTGGCTTACAAAGGCTGCCCACACACTCAAATGGGAAAGAGTGCAAAATGTCTATGCACTGAATATCCAAAAAAATCCAGTCAAGGCCTGGAGCCCATTGTAGTATACTGTGCAAGTCCGTCAACAGACCACAGGGTCTGTACCAGAAGACTGCATGGTCTGAGCTAGAGGCTGAAGAGTCTATGGTGGAAGCCAGGTGATGGTTTCCAATGTGACAATGAATAGTGGAGCTCCTCCCCTGAAATATATGTAAGCCTTTTTTGTTTCTGGTAACAGTGTTTGCTAGGGTAGGTCTTCACATCCCTAATTTGCTGTGCAAATTTAGTTGGGCATGTAGTACTCAGCTTGACACAATCAATTAACTGTCAATATCCACCCCTGACAGCTTCACAATTACATAAATTTAAACAGTTGTCTCGAGATACAAAGATGAGTTCATGAGTATACCTAACATGTATAACTGTCCTGCATACAAATGGAAATATACTAACTCCCCAGCCCACAATTTTTGGGGGAGTGGGATGATGTTTATTCCTGACATTTTATAACTAGAATACTATAACAGTTTAATAAGACAACTAATAAAAGGTCCATCAGCATATTACACTGGAATAATACTAGGAAAGGTCTGTTACAGTCCTCATTTCTGTAGCTGATCATGGGGTTATAGCTTGTGTTTACAACTACTTGAAAGGGCTGGGGATTTAGCTCAGCAGCTCAGTGCCTGCCTGGCAAGCACGACTTGGGGAGTTTGATACCCTGTACTGGGGGGGTGGGTGAGGACCCAAACAAACTTTACAACTACTTGAGTGACACATCCTGTATTCCTTGGCTTTCAATAAGCACTTCAGTAGATCCTGGTTGTTTCCCTTTTGTGGAGATGCTTTATTCCTGAAATTTGTGGACCATTTGAAATTCTGCCTGGATTGTATTGTTATAGTTTCCCATTGACAGCATGGCAATACGAGGTGACACCCTAATGGATTTCCTGCACTGCAAGTATATTCTTTCCTCCATTGTGGAGTAGTAGTACAGTGTTTCCTAGGCCTTCTGGATCAGTAAGGTCTCTAAACACTGCAACTACATTTTTAATCTCCTTAAGGGTCATGAAACCAACATGACCAGGAGGAAATCTTTGCTTCCAGTTCACAGGTATCTGTTCTTCCTGGTGCAAACCTTTCTTGTTCTGGAACGAAGATTTCTTTCTAAGAAATATATAGTCATAAGAACAGTGTAAGTTTTTGTTAATAGATCAGTATAGGTATCACTAAGCGGTACCACTCTTACTTCCACCCCTTCGTTCCTAGACCCGTGAATATTGGCCATGGAAGACACTATCATATAGTGGATGTTGACTCAAAGCATATGCACAGGTGTTTGAAGATCCTAACCCCAGTAATGTAACCTATTTCTGCTTAACTGGTACTGCAAAGATGTCTTCAAAATATTTGAACTTTCTATCAGTGAAGCAGCTTCTAGATGGTGATGAACATTGTAAGACCACTGAGTTTCATAAGAATGGGACTATGACTTCATTTCTTTGGACATGAGGTGTATTCCTTGGAATCAGAGCCAGTGTGTAGAGTTTCATAATGGTGGATAAGACATCATTTGAATGCATGGAAGTTCTGTTGGAAGCATGACATGTAGGAAAGATAAATCTATGCCAGAAAAAACTTCAGTAAGGGCGGTGCACACCCCTTCTATGATTGAAACAGTGCAGTATAATCAAGTGCCACCAGATTGAAGGCTGATCTCCTCAGGGAATAGTGTCACCTTGGGGAAAGAGTGTTCACCTATGCTGTTGGCATATTCAGCCTACAACAGTGCCTGTAGCCAGAACAGCCTCAGTGAGTGGGAGTCTGAGTGTGACTGAGAATGCATTACCTCCATCCCTGCTAGTATACCCACTCTGTTCATGAGACCATTGGGCAATGAAAGGGGTGGCTGAAGAGAGACGTTGACTACTCTACAAAATGGATCACTTTATTGTTAAAATCCTCTTCTGCTATCACATTTTGTTGAGCATTTCTAATACAAATATATTTACATCCCTATAGATATAGACTTATTCACATTTTTCATCCCAAATATCTCTGTGGCCAATTTCCCACTTAGGTTTCTTCATGTTTCTGAACAGCCAGCTAGACCATTAACTGCTGCCCATGAATCAGTATACAATTACATATCTGGCCATTTTTCCTCCCAGGCAAAGCCAGATTCAAATTGAAGGACACTCTTAAGGGTGAGGTACATAGTATGACCTGTGAGGAGATGCACTATTCTTTGAGAGAACTTCTTGAGACTTTTCTGTTAATCAGATGATTGAGCAATATGAGAATGGATTTTATATGTGGGATAATGGTATAAAAATGATAAAGCTGGATCAGGCTGAATATGTTGATAAGGGCCTTTTAAGCAGTGATTTTGAATTAATGTTGCAGCCCATGGAGTAAAGAAAGTTTTTAAGTTTATTTCACTGGTTGGCAGAAGTATGGATCAAAATGTGACCAACAGTGAATGAGTTAGAGGTGGCTTACATTTCATTGTTTACTGTTGAGGGGATTCAGAGTCTTAGGGAAATGGTAATGCTAACATGAATTTGCCATGTCAATCCTAATGGTCACATGGAACTTTCCAGAAAATGTGCCCTTCAGTAAAACCTTGAGAAATGGATTCATGAGAATAACACAGTATCCTTAAAGAGCCCTGTCATTGCTCTTCTTTGTATGGCAGATGTTAGAGTGGGGACTAGAGATGCTCCATGGAAAAATTAAGGAAAGTGGATTTGATTGGATCCCAAAGTAGCCCAAATCAGGTGGCAACACATAATTGCTAAAAGTAAAGTCCAGGCACTTATGAAAATGTACTGCAGAAAAAGAATAATGCTCAAAATAATCTACAAAAGTTTTACTAGATACATAATATTTTAAAAAGTAAGGGCAAATGAACAGAGACTTACTTCAAATCAAAGTAAGTGGGAATCACAACCCCTAAAACAGTTCCTCAATATGAGGCAATTTACAATCCCATTACCCCTTAAATGAAGGGGAGACAAGGTCCCCTTGAGAAAGGACCCCAGTGCACCACCAAATATTTATATGCCCATTCTTTCTCTCATCATTCCCCCCAAGAAGTCCTAAGCACTTTTACCAAAATAACTGTAAGTTGAGGAATGCGGAAACTTGGGGACTAGGGACACGTACTGACAACCTTTGATTTATCATTGTGGCCTTCCAATAAAAGTAGGGGCCTATGGAGTTCCTGTAATCAATGCACTTCTAGCAAAGATCCAACTCGCTGTTGATCCTACTTGTCCTCAAATTCATCCAGTACTTATTTCTCCTTTTCAGAATGTGCACGTGGGGTAGATATACTTACTACTTGGCAGAATCCTCACACTGCCTCCTCACACTATAGTGTGAGGGCTAGCATACTTGGAAATGCCAAACAGAAGCCATTACAATTGCCTGTCCTGGGGAAAATTGTAAAATAAAGAACAACAGTGCTTTCCTGGAGGGATTGCACAGATTATTGCTACTCTTAAGGCCTTGAAGAATACAGCAGTACTCATTCCCATTATATCTCCATTTAACTCTTCAATTTGCCCTATGCAGAAGATCTATGTATCCTGAGAATGAGGGTACATTACCATAGACTGGGTCAAGTGTTGATTCCAATTGCACTGCCTTACTGGTGTGGTGACTTTTATTGAGAAGGTTAGCCCATCACTTGGTCTTAGTATGCAGCTATTGATTGGGCAAATGCCATTCTTCTCCTTTCCTATCCATTTAGCTCATATGAAATAATTTGCTTTCAGAGGGGAAGGCCAGCATACACCTTTACTGTCCTACTTCAGTGTAATATTAACTTTCCAGTCCTAAATTGAAACTGTATACATGTGATCAAGACAGCAGGTCAAGAGGGAACAAGTACATTACATGAAGAATTTCCTCAGATGCCCATGGCTCCTACAATTTCTTGATCACTTTCTTTTCCCAACAAGTATGACCTCATAGACCTCATAGATTGTACCACAAATTCAGCTGTTAGGGGAAAAAAGGATAGCCACTGTTTGTGGGTGGTTCTTCATGTTATGCAAGCATCACCTGTAAGTGGATAGCTACAGCATTACAACCACTTTTCAGGACATCTTGTTTTGATACTGGTGAAGGAAAGTCTTCACAATGTTTCAACACTGGAGGTAGAAAAATCTCTTCCTTTGGGAAAATAATCTCATGAGAGCTGACATGCTAAACACGCTCAGCCTCATCACAGTCCTCCCAAACATTTCCATCCTAGGGTATGGGATTGTATTCTGTTCTTTTTTTTTTTTTTTCTATTTTTTCTGGTACCAGGAATCGAACTCATGACCTTGCGCTTGCCAGGCAGGCGCTTTTGCCGCTGAGCTAGATCCCCAGCCCCCTGTATTCTGTTCTGATCAGAAGAGCCCTCACCTTTACTTCAGATACCCTTCGAGGCTGAGCATTAAACTTACAGTTTTTCAGCTAGTCAAATTATGAGAGGCCTGTGGATGGGTGTTTGCAATTTTAGTCAAGTTGATAAAAGAGAGCAAAACTTAGAAACTTTTAAGTTTTTGGTGTTTGAAGCTAGGAGTATAAATCTTAGAACTCCTTGTTTTCATTTATTTAGTTATTCTTACAGTTAGAATTTAATTACTCAATTGGTTGAGCTAATTGTTCTCCTTCATTAGTTTGTTCAAAGGTGCTACAAGAAACTAGCAATCATATTTTCCGCTCTGCCACAAATACACAAAAATTTCATATATAGAGTCACTATATTCTTCCTATTTCAAAAGTGATTTAGCACAATCAAATGAACCTACATTGTGTATGATTTTCAACAGTTCACAGCAAGG